AAAAAAAACTACAATGAAAAAAGCAAGTCAGCTATATATCGATTTGTTGTACTCCTCAAATCACATTCACAATTTGGCTACAAGGAAAGAAAACTCATTGATTAAAATATTATTTTGTCAGTATTTTTTAATGTACAAGAGACTTTAAGACTCCACTTGAATATTATAAAACTTTTATTGAATATTGTACAATTTTCTTGCGTATTATAAACTTTTATTGAATATTGCATCTTATAATATAATATTCTCCAAATAAATATATCTCGTGGTTCGCACGGGTCACGTACTATATATATCCCGTACATTTTTCTTTTTTCATGTATATAATTATAAGTCTGGATAAATAGCCTTAAAATTGTGCACCTCGTGTATCGCACGGGCTCTGTACTAGTAGTAGCAAATAAGTGAATGAGCATTTAATGCATATTTTGTGTGGAAACTTTTTAAATATATGCATTAAATGCTTTAATATACACATTTCCAAATCAGATATGATCAAAAAGATTCTTTCCTTGAATAATTTTATTAACATATGCAATAATTTTATTGATATCCATAATAATAAACTATAATTTGATTTTTCGTGATTGGTGTTGATAATATTTTGGTCAACATAAACATGAAAACAAATTTTAAGTCTTAACCATATTATTATTATTTTTTTTTCACAAATATTGACTTTTATCCTAAAATATTAATAAACAATCGTAACATGTTAAATAATTCTCCCTCTAACTAATTAGCCGAAATCAAGTTGGTGAATTAATATTTTTTAACCTATATTCAATTATATAAATAATAATTTTTTTAAATTAAAATAATTTACAATTTAAGAGATAATGATCACATCATTAAATAATTTATTAATGGCTAAATAAAAAAATTAAAATATATTAACTATTCTTTACAGTTTCAACATTTGATTTATTTGTATATTACTGTCAACCATGATAATTTTATCATTTTTTATTTTTATTTGTTTCTATAAATTCATTATTGTAAAATATATATTTATATTGCATAGTATGTTAAATAAATTAATAAAGCTTTAGGATGAACATTAGAAAAATCCCTTGATTATGTAAGGGTTTATTATTTGACAATTTGCTAAATCAATTTTTTTCAATTATTATGAGAAAATTAAATTCTAAAAAACATGTGTGTGTATTTTGTAAACATTTATACATAAAATTTTATTTTAAACTTCACTACATAAACTAAGAAGAAGAAGACTACTTCTGTAACCTTTATAAATAATCATAATGACATTATATGACAACAAATATTATAATAAAATAATAATTGAGTGTTAAATGGTAAACAAGAATAAGCATAATTTTTATTTTTATTTTTCTTATATCGATGAATAAATATATATTGTAGAATCAAATTTATATTAGTATAACGTGTTAGCAGATTGATATATTAATTAACATGTCAACGTTATGACTAAAATAAATATCACTGATTGAAAGAAGTGGAAAATTGATGATCCAACCCTATTATTTTTTTGTCAAAACGTACAAGCTCTATAGAAATGACTCAATTAATATGTGCATCGCACGGGCTATGCACTAGTGAGTGTTATACTGAAAAAAATTATACTTATAATAACCAAACAAAAATTAAGAGTTCTTAATTTAAATTTTTAGATCTTTTTTTTCTTACAAAATTATTATCATTCATTTAATTTACATTGATAAAGATAGATATTATTTTCATTGTATATATGTCATATGTATATCTAGTTATTCAAGATCGGTAATATGAGATTAATTTAATATATAATGTATTAAAAACAGATAACAAATAAATAACTATTAAATTTTAAAAATATTTCTATCATGTGTTTTATAATTTTAAGTTCCTAACCGTTATTAATAAAAGTTCAAATCTACCTGAATTACTTGAACCGTCAGAATTTGACGCAAACCAGACAACGGCAAATAGAGGATTAAGAAAGATAATCTACGAAACTTGCATTCATATATGAGGAGAAATTGAAAATTAACAAAATACCATTTTCTTAAAAAATATTATTTATTAATTATACTTTTTTCTATTTAATTTTATAAGTCTAACTTATAAAATAAATCTCAATCACTATTACATATTCCTTAACATAAATCTAATTTATAAATAAAATTCAATTATTTTTACAAATTTCTTTATAAAGCTTGCTTACTATTATTATTATTTTATAAATAGACTTATTATATTACAAAGTACCACTTATTATATTATTGCTTCACATCACATCAATTATAACCACCGTACTTCCATCTTGAACTCAACTGCAATTCTTAATAATTCAATTTCTTCGTAAAATAAACTGTAACACTTGTCTTTAGTGATGAAAGAATTATTTAGAGTTGAATGTTGTTGTATTTTCCATGATTACTTCAAGAATACATATGGGAACAATATGAGCCAATTCAGACTCTTTAACCATTAGGTTACACACACTATTTTAATTATTGGATAACAAACACTCACACAAACATGTGTGTAGTAGTAACCTTATGTTCGAATTTTTCAACATGATTGAAAATATAATAATAATTGAACTGTGATGGTCCTTCCTACAAAGAAAGTGGTCACACATGATTAAGAGGGCAAATTTCAAAATCAGTCCCACAACTATAGGGATGACAATTTTGTCTCGACGGAATAATTAAAATCAAAATAGTACCACAACTTTGTAAAATTAATCAAAAGTAGAAATTTTGATGCGATTTTTCGGCCCGAAAAGCCACGTCGCGCTGAGCTGGCGTTTTTTCTTGACATGCTGACAACAGTCATTACACGTGACAGGCACTATACTAGTAGGATTAGTTTTGAATTTTTTTCCTATTTTTATATTGTTATACTCTACTTTTGTTATATAAATTATTATATATTTTACTTAGTATAAATATGTTATTAAATAAATATAAGGCAAGGAATATATATAATTATTTATTATAACTATTTAATAAAAAAAATCAACTATGGATAAGGATACAATATACATTAAAATGAAATTATAAAATATAGTGAATGGATATTTTTTAATAGTTATTCTGCTTATTTTTAATATTAAATTATTATAAAGTTATAAAAATAATTTTATTCATGGGATAATTATAGTTGACGTTTTTCACTATATTTTTCAATTAAATAATTATAAAATTACAAACAAAAAATTAAAAATGTGAATATTCGATAATACATCAATACAACAATTGTACAGTGCTTCAACAGTTTTTCTTAGAATTATTCCTTTTAGCAATATATATCTAGGGTTCCGGATGCCAATTTTCTCAACTTGTGTCCAAGGCGAAGATATTTACATGTACAAGTAAATGCACAATTTAATTATTTTTTTCTTTTTTAGTTTTCCCTTGCCATTTGGATTCCCCAAAAATAAGTTTAAAAATATCATATTATATGAATTCGTTACCATTATTTTCTTAGAATTATTATTTTTAATAGGTAACATGCTTAAAAACATGAATATTTGAATAATATTTGAAGCACAGCCCAATTGTTGAATTGATTTATAATCGAATATTCATATTTTAAATATATATCTATTTATTTGGTAATTTTATAATTATTTAATAAAAATTATAATAAAAAATATGAACTGTAATTGTGTCATGAATAAAACTATTTTTGTAGTTTTATAATAATTTAATATTAAAAAGAAGCTAGAAGAAGAACTATTAAAAATAACACATCACAAAATATAAGTAAAATAAAAAATTTTCTAATTTCATTTTAATACATATTGTATATACTTATTTATAGTTGATTTTTTTTAAATAGTTATAATAAATAATTAGACATATCCATAATGTTTGTCATATATTTACTTAATAATATATTTAAATTATATATAGTTTATATATATAATAATAATAATTTATACAACAAAAGAAGAGCATAACAATATAAAAGAACCGGAAAATTTTGAAAACTAGTCCCAAAGATATAGTGTCATGTAAAAAACGACATAAAGAGAGACGAGGTCAACTCACTGGGTTCGAGCTCGGCCGCTACTAGCTCGATGAAAAGGGTTTTTCCGAGCAAGTCTGCAATGTCATCTAGGCCACGATCCAGTCCAAGGTGAGACAGCGCTCCCCCAACCGTCTCCAGCACCGTCACAATAGCTTTCACGCTCGTCTTTTTTCCGGCTGTGGTTGCCGTCGGCGTCATCAGGGCCTTCACGGCGGCGCCGGCCGGCCGCCGCCTCCGGGGGACACGTCCTTTTCCGGTCATGACGGATTTTTGGCGGGAGAAAATGAATATTGGGGATGACTGGGCGGCATTTAGGAAAGGCTTGCCTGGCAGCTGTTGCCGGAGGGTTTGGGGAGTGGTTGGGCATTGAGGCCTGTGCAGGCATTGGTTCAACATGTTGTCTTTTGTTTTGTTTAGATGTGTTAGTGTGGATTTTGGGAAGGGGAATGTGTGGCTATTTAATGGTGGAGAGAGAATAGTCTCCGGCCAGTTTTACACAACGTGATTCATTCCTTTTTTTGTCTTTTTTTTATTTTTTCTTATTTAAAAAAAAAATAATCATGTTTTAAAAAAAATATAATATAATCAAATGTGTAACGTTTATTGTATAAATGTAATTTATTGCTAAAAAGTGCACGGGTCGACCGCCTAAATTAGACATGCTAATATATAAATCTGCCATTATAAATTATTGTATCGAATTACGGCCTTGAAAGGCTAGTGGAATGAATTAAATTCGAACGGTGAGGTGATTAGATGAAGACGTAACTTTTCCTATGTATAATAGCCTTATTATACATTCCTATAGGAAAAATAAAATAAAAATAATTCAATCCCATTATTATATGGCCTCTGAAAAATATTGATAACGGAAATTCTCAATCGGGCGCGCTTTTGGATAAAATCAACGGACAAAATGTTTAGCATAAAAATTTTTCACCTGCGTGCGTACCGTTAAAAGCATTAACGGTACTTTAGAATTTTCCTAAATTTGGCTCATATATTTCATTTAATATTTGCCGTTAGATTTATATATAAACCGAACTCTAGTTCAACAATCATGAGCCAACAGTTCGGTTACTAATTTCTATAGAAACGTTGTAGTTTCCAGTAAATAAATTTTTATTCATCATATATAAACTAATGAAAAACAATAATATCACGTAAATTTGATATTACAAGGTTATATTTTGTAGAATATCTATATTCAAATATTAAATCATAGTGTACGAAAATACTCACCTATATATCATGGACACATTAAGATATATCAATCGACCATGCATTAAAATCTCATAAGCTTTTAATATCATCAGGATCGTGTATATAGTAAGCTTAATCTTCATAGCCATCAGAGGCGTGAGAGCGAGGCTGTCCTAAATGAGAAAAAATAATTTGTTCTGAAGACCCTCCGTACAATAATTTTCAGTACTACACGCTAATAATATTCCATCAAGACTGGTCACACACATGACAAACGTGGCTATTAAATATTGTCCAGATCAGGTAAAGGTCACCGGGTGATTTATTTTTAAAAAAAAATTGAAAAATAAGTGAAAAAAAAAAACAAAAAAGCGGGTAGACCGAAATAGAAAGCCCGTATTTAGAAAATACGTTTTCATAATTTTTTTTTTAATGAAACACGTATTCAGCGAATACGTCCTTAAATTAAACTTGTTTACTTTTTTAGAAAACATATTGCCGAAAAATGTATATATACAATTTAATTTAAGGACGTATTTCTAAAATACGTTTTCGAAAAAACCCCAAATTTAAATTGGAAACCCTAAAGCCTAAATAAATCAATTTTTGTTTTATAAAAAAAATTAATTTTCGTTTTATAAAACGTATTTCATGAATACGGTTCTAAATATTAATTAATTTTTAACAAATTAAATTAAGATAAAACGTATAGAAGAAATACGTTTTTCAAGAAAATGAAAAATATAAAACGTATACAAGAAATACGTTTTTTAAGAAAATAAAAAATATAAAACGTATTTGCGAAATACGGTTTTTAACAAAATATAAGTAAAAAAATCGGGTCTCCTCTACCATTTCTGCGGAACTGAAGCTGCGAGCGAAGGAAAAAAAAAATTCACTTCCTTCCATCCATTATTCACCTCAAAATAAAAAAAAAAAAAAAAAACCTTTTAACAATCAATCGATTCGGAGAAGAGGTTAGTTGTTATTTTAATGTAATATAATTACATATTTGTTTTATATGTTTATGAATTTGTAAGAAATATTTGTTGGTTTTGATGAGTATAGTTTAGAAAAGATTTATTGTTGATTTAATAGTTGTCTTAAATGATTATACATTGTTCTTGGATGATGAGATTCGTTGTATGTTGAGAATTTTTGCGAAAATTGGATAATTTGTATTGTATAGTTTGATTTTGAGAATTAGGGTTTTGGAGAGTTATTTTATAAAAGAATTGGTATTTTTTTTGTTATTGTAGTATTAATTGAAAATACTTATCTTGATTTGAGTAAAAGAATAACTGAATTTTTTGGGAAATTATGTGTTGTTGTAATTGGGAAGAATTGTTTTTTGCAACAGGTATAAATGGCGTCTACCGGACCATACTTTGTTAATGTGTATTGGAATGTTCCGAAGGACTTGTTATATGATTTTTCAGATTTTAAAAACTCTCCGGATGGTTCATTTAGCATTGGGGAGAAGCTATCATTTAAAGAATTGGTAGATATTCTTTATGAAAATTTTGGGTTTCATCGAGATGGTTGGATAATTGAGAAGATTAGTTTACTGAGTAGCGAACGCGATGGTTCGTGGAATATTGGAAACCTGAATACTAATAGTGCTGTTGATTGGATATATAATTTTCCTCCTTTCTCCTATGTGTATTTGCATTTAGAGTTGAAGCAGGTTACGCAGGCACCTACAGAGGTTACGCAGTTTGAGGATGTTGCCCCTTTTTACGGGGGAGTGGCTGATGTTGAGGGTACGTCCACTTCGCATGTTCGTAATTTTGGCGAAGGGACAAGCTCAACAGTTAGAGAATGCGATAATGAGGAAGAAAGTGATCATGATTTCATTCGCGGTGAAGACGATTTCACAGATGGTACCTCGGAAACGGAATCAGATAGATCAATAAACGAGGAGAGTGAACCAGAATTTATTGAAGAACACCCATTTCCTAGTACCGGTCAGCACGTGTATCGCGAGATGGGTGAGTGGGACCCGTCGTGTGTAGACCGTGATGAGTATGCCTTGCCATTGTGGGATGGGCATGTCGATACTATCCGTTTGGGTACTGTTTTCCGATCCAAGAAAGATGCACAGATGGGTATCATGAGTTGGAACGTTAGTAGGTTGAGGGAGGTTAAGACAACATATTCGAATAAGAAAACATTCAAGGTGGTGTGCACATCTAACGAAGATGAACCTTGTCCCTGGATGGCTCGGGTGACGCACTGCACACGGGTTCATGAAATGTGGGAAGTAAGAGAATGGACTGAGAGGCACAGTTGTATGCAAGAAGTCGAAAAAAATGACCACAGAAATGTAACCGCCACAATGATTTCACATCTTATCATGACCAAGATTCAAAAGAAACCCGAGTACAGTGTTACCCTGATCCAGGAGGATGTTAAAAAATGTTGGAAAGTCGATGTGAGCTACAAGAAGGCATGGCACGGGAGGAAAAAGGCCATCGATCGTTTGTATGGCACTTGGGAATCGAACTTCGCACAACTCCCTCAGTAAGAAAAACGCTTATTAAAAATGTACGTGTTATTTGTCACTATGTTTTTGTATTGACGATTACGTTTTGGGTAACGTGCAGGTTTTTTGCGGCGCTTCAAAGAGCGAATCCCACTACGGTTGTAGAGTGGGAATGGCAAGGTGGGGAAATGGCGGCCTACTATCAGCACAGAGAATTCAAATTTGTTTTTTGGGCATTTGGTCCCGCCATTCAGACCTTCCAGAGATGCCCGCCGGTAATTAGCATGGACGGCACACATTTGCGTGGCTCGTACAAGGGGAAGTTGCTCGTGGCCGTGGCACAGACTGCGAATAAGCGGCTATTACCAATCGCCTATGAGATTGTCGATGAAGAGAGCCAGGAAAGCTGGTCATTTTTCCTGACAAATCTCCGGCAACATGTTGTCGGCGACAGACAGATATGCTTTCTTTCGGACAGGGATGCGGGCTTACAAAGTGCCGTGGATTCATTGGAAGCTTGGCAAGAACCCGCTGCATATCACCGGATTTGTCTTCGACACCTTCGGAGCAACGTGGTTTCTAGGTTCAGGAATAGTAAAATCCGAAATTGGTGTTGGGAGTTGGGTTTCACAAGTTTCAGAGAAAAAATTTGAACAGATACGATCGCGGCTTTGGGATTGTAATCCGGACGCATACAATTACTTGTTCAAAATTCCTCTGGACAAGTGGACCCTGTTTGGAGACGGTGGACGTAGATGGGGTACTTTGACAACTAACATGTCCGAGAGTTACAACAACGTCCTGAAAGGTGTTAGGTTCTTGCCCTGCCGAGCTTTGGTACACGCCACATTCATAAAAACTCTAGACTTGTTTGAGCAGGAACAGAAGAAGTCCACGAGATGCAGTAATGCCATTGCTAGTGTCCACTATGCCGCTTATTGCGGATTGGAGAGTACGGCCGCAACTCATACGGTGCGATGTTCGAACGCGGAGAGATCCCTGTACAAGGTGACAACCGGTCTACGGGCTGATGGTAGAGGCGACAAAAGGTATACGGTTTATTTATTTATTGTATAATTATTATTTTATTTATTTTGGTTCACTAAAATTTTTAGTTTTTTATAATTATAATTAAATGTGGAAAAACAGGTATAAGGTTTCGTACAACCGGATGCGTTGTAGTTGTCAGAAGTGGCAGACACACAGGAAACCATGCTCTCATGCTATAGCTGTGTGTCGTCAAATAAAAGGTCAACCAAAGGTGTTGTACGATCCACACTTCTGGACGGAGAACTGGGTGGCATAATTTTCTAATTGGAGTTTTGTTCCGATTGGTGATCCAGACACATGGCCGTTAGTCGGATGGAACTTACTACCAAATTGGGAGAGGATCATCACGAAGGCTGGACCCGGTCGCGCGCAAACGAAGCGTCATCGCATGCAAATGGATCGTCGGGCACGTCGTCGGGCTGATAGAGGACAGTGTAGTAGATGTGGTAATCCACAGCATTTTGTGGATGACTGTCCGTCCTCGCATCCTCGCACTGATAGATCTAGAGTTCGTGATGAGTGGATAACTAGTTTTGTTAGTGTTTATTTTTTTTTTATGTTGGACTATTTTTTTATTGTTTACTTTGATTTGTTAGACTATGTTTGGATGATATATTTTTGTTATGTTGGACTGCATATGTTATTTGTTTATGTATTT